CACACCGAGAGAGAGAGAGAGAGAGAGAGAGAGAGAGAGAGAGAGAGAGAGAGAGAGAGAGAGAGAGAGAGAGAGAGAGAGAGAGAGAGAGCTGCCAGCTGATGTAGCGCCCCGCCCAACACAATAGGACCAACCCCACAACCAGACCACCCAGTCCACATGGTACCACCGAACGCGTATACCATCATACATGCCACATAAAAACCACCTGGCCCACATAGGACCACCTGGCCCACATAGTAGCACCCAGCAGTGCGATCTTTTTTACCCTTTTTTAAGAACTGTAGCACCCACCCCGGATAGTATCGTTGTCCGGTCCACATAACATGGCCAATAGTATGGCTCAGGCGGACCACCCAGTATCACCTGCACGACCTAAAACCATGCAGCCCACAAAACAGCAGGCGTTCTTTTTTTTTTGTTTTTGTTTTTTTGTTTTGTTTTTTTTGTTTTTTTTCCATTCTCTCGATTTCACCTTTCACCTCCTACCTACCACTATTCCTGAGGCTACACAGGGGATCCCTGCAAGCATAGCTACCTCTCACATGTTCCTATTTTGTAGTATTTTCATTGGAGCGCCTGATGTGGCCTTTCCACGATTAAAGAATATCAGTTTTTTCAACATTTGGTTATTACCACGATCATTATTACTTCTTCTAATCTCTGCTTTAGTGGAATTGGGTGCTGGGATCAAGGTGATGCATGTTGCCCCATGCCCTAGTTGAAGGTGGTCAGCAATTAGGGACGCGGTGGAGGGGGTGGTTAGGGAGTAGGGTAGGGCCGTCCGTGGAGGGGTCTGGTGTGGGAGTAGGATGGGGTGTGGGTACTTCTCGGGGAAGTCATCCTAGCGGAGGAAAGGCAATTCCCTATAATTGAAGATGTATGCCTCTCTTGTATGACGGAATCGTTCTTGAGAGGACAGATAAAATCCCTGTTCTGGGGAGAAGTCTTGTATGCTTGGAGGACAGTCAGACCGGTTCAATGGACCAAGTCACTCACGAAATCAGAAGTATTGGCTCAACCGCTGTTTGATAACCCGCTCCACTGACATCCCCATACCCCCCCCCCCCCCCCCCCCCCCCCCCCCCCCCCCCCC